AGGTGGTAGTTAATGTAGACATTGGCAACCATGTAAGGTTTTGTATGTGTGCATGTAAAGCAGCCATGTCTCTTGTACAATCTGTATCCATATTCTACCTTATCAATGACAAAAATGCCTTTGTTGTAAATGAGCTTTTACTTTTTATAATGTTCAACTAACGGTGTAAATGACCATTTGCAATAAAAAGCTTGAACAATGAAAAGAATAACTTAAATAAGCATATGCTTTCATAGTGACTAAACAATAAACATTTACTTACACTTTTATATCCTTTCTTATAAACTTAACATTGTTTCATAGCTTAACATAGCACTTGTACAAAGTGCATGAATAAAAAAAATCATGCCCAAATATGGTTCATCACCACAATAAAACCTTGTCATAAATAACAAGAGCTATAACAGCTAGTTTATAGCACTGTAAAAGTGCAAACATAATTAAAAAGCTGCCCAAAAATTCTGCAACACACAAAACACAAACTTCAGCTACCTAAGAATTCTCTAGTGCACAAAAGACACAAATTTTGGCTACCAATCAATTCTCCATTACACAAAAGACATAACCTTCAGCAATATAGCATAATTAAAAGGCTTCAAAATGCTACCAAAAAATTATCTTCAGTAGCCAAACTCATGTTATGTCCAGTTGGGGGCATCACAAAAATGTTCCTTTGCTCAGTTGAAGGACCATCCATTACTGTAATTGAAGGAGCTGGGCCTCCACTATTGCTTTATGCAGTTTGCTCATTTATAGCTTCTCTAACTATCACATTTGTATGCAGTCTAGGCTATAAATAATTAAGCATATTAGTAAGCACAATTAAATTACTAACATACCAAACTTAATAACACATCATATAATAAATAAATTGGATACTCACATGCCAAATCATTGCAACAATTTGCTCAGTGATTTGTATGCCACTTTTTGAACTTTTCTCTTTTTACTTATTATTTTTCCCATTCTCATAATTAACCTTTGCTTTTCCTTTCTTATTCGCAAATGAAGATTGTGGTTGCTCAAGTGAAACAATTTGCAGTCATTAAAAATTAATAAGCTATGCTATTTAAAATAACAATAACTTATAAAGCATAAAACTAGAACAAATGAAAAAAGGTGATACAGCGTTTTCAGTGTTTTCAGCTAGTGATGTTAAGCAAGATGGGGCATTTGATGCTTGTGAAGGATTGACATTCACATTAGTCTTAACCCATAGACATATTTAAAATAGATTGTTAATTAAAAATTGTATTATAAATTAAATTAGTAATGTAAATAAACATAACACTTGCAACTAATAACTTTAGGTTTTCGATGATAAGCTGTTGATGGTCTCTTTTTTTACCCATTTGCTGATGCAATAGCTAGAGGCATCTACAATGCATTGACATTTAATTTAGTCCATTTCACACAGCATTATTAAAGAAAAAGTTTAATAAATAAATAGCAGTTGTTGACTTACTTGATCATTTAATTTAAAGGGACAAGATGATTTGTTATGTCCTCCTTGTTTACAATTAGAGCAAGTCATGACTCTTCCTTTCCTTGAGAGTATAACTACCTTAGACACTTTTTTGGGCTCATCTTTGGATTTTCTCCTATTTTTCTTTGTCCTTCTAGGCTTTTTTTTGACCGAGGGTGGATTTAAAGGCTCACCATGAAATTTTTTCCATGACTTATCCCCACACATTCCCTTTATAAGGAAGCCATAAGTTAGTGCATACTTCTCCTTCTTGTACTAGTTAGCAACAAAGTTTTCAAGTACCAAATTTTCATGGTACATACAACATATAACATGTGGACAAGGTATGCCATTCATTTGCCAAGCTCTACAAGTGTAGGTTCTCTTCATCAAGTCAACCACATGTTTGTTAATATACATGCTTCATCTCAAATCTAGTTCTTCCATCCCAAACCAATTTCCATGAAGATGACTCGTTCTTGTTGGCCTCTAACGTCTTTCTAGCCTTTGGTGCAATATCACCTCTCCATTTGGGAATGGATGCATATTTTTCACCAATTCTCTCCATCACTTGAGACCTTAAAGTATCAACCATGGGGATAATTGCCAAGTACCTTGCTTCCATAACCCAAAAATTGAAAGACTCACACATGTTATTGTCAACCACATCACAACAAGGATCTTCATCAAAAAATGTGCTGCACCATTTTTTTGGATCATATCTTTGCAAATTTGTCCAAGTTGCCTCGAATAGCTTCTTCAACAACATCATTTGGTGCTCATACTCCTCTAGCTAGCTAGCTTGAGCAATAGCCCCAAATCTTATTTTAAATTCCTCTCATCCCCAAATCTTTGCCCAGTTTGCAGATACATGCCTTACACAATATCTGTGCTTTGCATATGGAAAAGCAACTTCCCTTGCTAATATTATTCCCTAAAAGCATATTACAATAAGTCAAGACATAATCAACTAGTTACTGGAATAAAATATGCATCATTAAGTACAAATTATTAGTTAATACCCGGTGCATGTTTGATATTATTGTCAAACCTATTCCTTCACCAAATTCTATGTCAATGTTTAATAACTCCATGAACCATTGCTAATTGTCTTTGTTTTCAATGTCAACCATAGCCCAAGCTAATGGGAACATTTGATTATTCCCTCTCTCTCTATGGAAAATAATACTATACCTTTATAGACATTTTAAAAAAGAATCATCCACCCCAATAATTGGTCTACACCTAACTTTCCAACCCCTCTTGCAACCGTCAAAACACATGTATATTCTCTTGAATTGATACATAACATCTGGATAGTTTTGTGTACCAATAACACATGTAAGCATAGGATTTGTAGACAGGATATGCTCACCATAACCTTTCAACAACTTATATTGTTCAATGTAACTTCCATGTAGCTCATTTTTAATAATTTTCTTAGCTCTTTGACACTTGTATATAGAAACATCAACTTCCATTTCATACTTAACATGCTTAGTAAATTGTCTAATAGTTAAGTGTGGAGCAATTGTCACTAATGTCCTTAATGCATTTATTAAGAATGGTCATGTCACTAATATATTTTTATGCGTTTTAAAGCATGCATGCTTTCTATAATATGTCTTAATCTTAAAACAGTTGTAAGTGTTGTCAAAACCAGCATAGATTTCCCAAGAGCAACCATGCTTAACATCACAAGCATACCATTTTCTTCTCGGTTCATTCTTCCTCCAATGGAGATTGCGTCATTTTTTAACAGAGTATTTGGGCAATGGCTTCTTTAAATTGAATTGCATTTTCAAAAACCATTCCAACTTCAAAGTGTGGAATTTCACAGTTAGGATCATAATAAAGGTGACTACTTGCACTCCTTAGTGCATCATTTTTCAAAAACGAGTCCAAGTCCTCAATTGAGCTATCACTATAATAGCTACCAAGATCACTACTATTAACATATTCACTGGCTCTATCACTAAAGTCAAAATCATTGTTCTCCAAATCAAAATTTGCAACAAATCTAGGGCCTTCACCTTCAACATCTCTAATTATAATCCCTTTGAAGCCTAGTTTGCATTAGTGGAATTTGAAAAGGGATTCAAGTTCTTCTTTCCTTTAGACACCTCTATCACTTTTTGTTTGCCTTTTTCAATTGGTTTACTTTCTACACAATTGAAAGTCTCAAAATCAACATATCTATGATTCATTTTCTGAATACCAACCACCAGCTCATTATCATCCACATCACTTCCTAGCATGTCATGCTGAAATAAAGCCATTTTGCCATGCCTAGGGTGTATTCTAGTTGACCCTTCACCAGCATCAATATTTACCTTAAAGAAAAGGCCCTACCAAAGTTTCTACTCCAATTTCTCCTTGCATGTTGGAGTTGTCATGCTCCACATATTCACGACAAATTCCTAACTCCATTAATATTTTTGCAACCTCAGTTACCTCTACATCACCATTTAAAAGTAGCAAACCACTTTCAAAAGGCAAGTCAAGAACTTTGTAATATAATGCCCTTACCGACTAAATCCCGACCTCATTTAGTTTATTAGTGATATCAAAATAACACAACTTGTCAATGTCATTACCTCTTAAATCATAGGTTTCACCTCCAACATAATGTGAAACATCTCTTTTAACATGTCCAACATAATGTATACAAATCTTAAATGGTACATCATCATCTGACATTGTTGTTTTTAAATGACAAAAATACACTAAGACAATAAATAAATCATCCCTAATATTGTTAAGTATAACTATAAATTCATGGATTTCACCCTAAACTCCCCTTCTGTCAATCCCTTTTGCATGTTCGTACAAAACCCAAAACCCTTAGACCCACATAATAGTAAATAAATTATTAATTGCATACTTAAATCACAAAGTTTAGATTAATAGATGAACAAAATCCTAATACCGATTTCACCCCATGTGCTTTAAAGCTTATTCAATGGTTGAATAATGAAGTCCACCTACCTCTTATGGATGAGATCAACTCGATATTGAAGAAGATTCTTCCAAATTTGGTCTGGTCATCCTTAGTGATCCCTTCTATGTCTTTCTATGTCTTTGTCTACACCTTTTTTTTTTTTTTTTTGGGGTGAAAGTCATTGTCTACACCTTTTCAGAAGGTATATCTAAATGTATAAGACACTTTCTCTTGTTTTTGGGAAACTTTTGTGTCAAATGGACTAAATGGCAACAAAAATCCACCCAAATGCTAAATCACTTGCCACATAAGCATGACATGGAAAAATTTGCCACGCAAGCGAGTCCCCTAATAGCAGTTAAGTTGGTTGTAAGAAGAAGGGTGAAATTGCTTCGATCACAAAGTTCAGGGACTTATATGCTTCAATTAAAGTCTGAGGGCTTAATAGCAATTCTGGAGTTAGTTCAAAGGCTTAAGTTATGGTTTTACCTAAGTTAATTGAGTTTATACCTAGGAATATTCTATTGTATAGTTTTATACCTAAGAATATTTTATTATATCTATATATAGAACTTTTGTATATATAATAAAAACAAGAAAACAACAAACCTTTATTCAAATTATTCTTCTAGTTTTTTGTTTCTAACAATCTCTTCTATTAAACCAGAATTTCTTGTGTTGTTCAAATCAAAGTTCCTCCATTTCATGCCTTAACTTATCTCCGATCTCCTAAGGAGTAAGGTCTGTGAAAAGGTTTTACATTTTTGAGTTTTATTCTAATTCTGGTTTCTTCCGTATTACTTCAACTTACTTGCCTAAACCATGAACTGAAAAGGAAAAAGAAAAACACAGTAAAACTCTATTCAGATTGCATACTTTTCTCAGTTCTAAGAAACCTAGCTACTTATAAAAGATGCTGAATATTACCATAAAGGAGACTAGCATTATTCGCCCTGCTAGAGAAACACCAGGCAAGTGCTTATGGAACTCTGGCTTGGACCTGATAATGATGCCAAAGCGTCAGTTTTGTTCTTCTACAAACCAAACGGCTCCGTCGATTTCTTCCAAGCTCAAGTGCTCAAGGAAGCTTTAAGCAATGTTCTGGTGCCATTTTACCCCGTGGCCGGAAGGCTGGGAAGGGATGAGAGCGGAAGAATTGAAATAATCTGCAATGCCGGGGAGCCTTATTTATAGAAGCTGAAGCTGATGGCGTTCTCAATGACTTGAGTGATTTTGCACCAAGCTCCCAACTTCAACAATTAGTTCCAACAGTTGATTACTCCGGAGATATCTCCTCCTATCCGCTTCTTCTGATACAGGTATATCTTATCATACTACGAGTACCGTTATACAGATATGTTAATCAACGATCAAAAATATATATATACATACAGATATGTTAATCAAACCAGAAATGTTCCTGAGCCGATTAGTCCTATAGATTTTTTATTTTTATTTCTTTTGAATCTAAAATTTTAAATCTTACTTTTCCATCTAGTAATTTTAAAATTTAAATTATTACACTCATAAACTTTTAAGTATTAAATCTTAAACCTTAAAAATATACATCTTAACACATTAAATACTAAATTTTAAAAAAAA